TCCCAAAGTGTTGGGATTACAGGCATGAGCCACTGCATCCGGTCTCTTTTTTTTTTTTTTATAGTGGCCTTTATGCTGGACTTATTTAACTTGAAATGGTGGGCAATCCCAGCTGCAGACTCCACTCCATGGTACATATCAAGCAATTCAACTTTTTCTTGTAACGTCATGACTTTTCTCTGCTTCTTGGGAGCACTTCCAGCATTATTAGTGACACTCTATGGTGTTATTCAAGGTTTACAGTATTGCAGTAAACACAATGAAAAATACATGAGAACCGTGAGAGATCACTTTTGATCACAATAAGCGATTTACTAGGGAGAGGAACTGCTCATGGGGAGATGATTAAGGTCACACAGTGTTTTAAGCAGATACAACATGAGCTCACTGCAATAGCAACAGAAGGGACTATGAAATTATTACAGTAGTACGGTATGTGCTATTGCTCATTTTATGCAGTTATGATTTAATGTTGTATCTTTATGTTTGTTTACACTTCTCTCAACTTTGAATGGTGCTATGTACAGTCTGTGTGTGTAAGTTTTGGTAAATTTTAACTTTTTAGAAAAGGTTTGTGTATATTTTATGGTAGTAAATGATAAACTAGCATCTACCTACATTTTATGCAATCATGACACACCTTTTTTTGATATTTCTAGGCTACATGGTTCATCTGTGAGTTTTTTCAAATTGTCCAAATCTCCGCGATATTTTCTAATATATTTATTTTTAAAAATCCACCCCTAAGTGGGCCCTTGCAGTTCAAACCTGTGTTGTTCAAGGATTACCAGTATAAGTAATCATCTACATGAGCTATTTCAAGTCCTTAGCACACACATGTTTGGGAATTGCCATTCTGAATATACAGAGTGACATGTATATACTATAAGAGGGTTTTTATAACTAGAAAAGTCCCCATGTTTCTCCTTTAAAAGACAACAGGGCAATGTCTCAGTAGAGGATTTAAATTACAGGGGTGTTTTATTCTCTCAAGTCTCAAAAACTTAAAAGATATATGTTTCTTGACTTTTCAGCTATAATGCCAACCAGCATTAGGAAGACATTACCCAATCCCAGACTTGTCTTGCTGCCCCAAATTCAACCATTCTGAATTACAAGAGACAGAGACTATCACCTGAAAAGGTGATATAGCACAGACATGATGAATGGGGGCCTAATTGTGAGGTGGGCAGCCAGTGTGATTTGTATCTATTCCGGAAATCCCTCTATTCATCTCAGAATGGGTGAAGATCATCCAGGTATAGCCCCAACTTCTGGTCATCAGTCACCAGAAATCTGGGAAACTCAGTGGCATAAGGCCTGGGCTGCTTGTGCCAGTTGGAGGTACACCTTAATCTGCAGTTTATCTGATATTGTCATTTAACTAGATCTGTATGTTAGCTCGCTTAGATAAGCAACTTGAATATAGGAGCTGTGTTCTTTGTAATGCTGTGTATTTTAGAAGGCAACTAACAGATATTGGTTTGAAATGGACTAGAGAATCACACAAGGCTGTATCAAAATAAAAATTCTATGAATCATTTATCAGAAAAAATTCTTGAAATTCAAAATGTTTGGATCATTTTTAAAAAATAGATGCATGCATAACCATTACAAAATAGTCTAGAAAACTGGATATTAAGTGCCTGCATAAAGAGATCCCCAAATTTACTTAAGGTTACAGCCACCCATAAAATTGAGTACTCAAAAAAGCTGATGGCAAAAAAGTTAGTGGCATTTGAAATAAAAAAGACTCAATGATAATAAAGAAAAGGAAAAGTAGTTACAAGGTAAACTGCTCCAGGAAAGACACATCTTTGGAGTCTTCCAAGGTGCATTCAGAGACACAACTGAAAAGGGCAGTGTGAAAATAAATTCTGTGTATGTTCTAGTTTTAAAAATTGTGTAGTAATTTATGTATTTTTAGGTAGTAATATACAAACGAGCTCAAACTCAGCTGAAAGCAACACCAACATGGTTGTTAGGTTTCTCTCCTCTAAAAATGAGGTTTTTCTAGATTGCCTCCAAAATCCCCCCAAACTCCAGGTCTCTGAGTCTATAAACTCCGCTGCATCATATAGCTGTGTGCTGTTTTTCCAGATAAAATGACCTTCTATGAACTATTAGGTAGATTCTCCCAGCTCATTATCACAGATTCATCGCCACTATAATTATGGTGCCAGCTGCTGCTGTTTTTTTGTTTTCTTTGCACTCCAGGCTCCAGATGAAAGCTGTGCATTTTCTGTGAAGTCCTAGAAATGAAACACATGAGCTTTCTAACTTTGGAAAATCACATGTTCTCTTTATTAGAATTCTGCTGAGACTAATGTGATGGGAGACAAGAGTGGAGTATTTAAACTCTGTAGCTATTAATACCCCAATCAAGTGTTTTAGCTTGTCTATACGGTACTTCTCTGTTACTGATGCCTCCTGTTTTAGCAACTGAGATAGAAGATGCCTAGAAGCAAAAAGTCTGACCTGAGCACCTGAAGGTTGTCATAATTAAAAAAAAAAAAAATTCTTTGTAGAGATGGAGTCTTGCCATGTTGTCTGTCCATGGCTGGTCTCAAAACTCCTGAACTCAACTGATCTGCCGGCCTCCATCTTCCGAAGTGCTGGGATTACAGGCGTGAGCCACCACGCTCGGCCTAGTTGTCATAAAATTAATGTTATATTGCCTCCTCTTCTACACCTGGTAATAACTGCAAATGTTTATCATCTTTTATCTCTTTCCAGTATTCTATCAAAAGATTGCTGGAAGTAAGGCCGGGTGCGGTGGCTCAAGCCTGTAATCCCAGCACTTCGGGAGGTCAAGGTGGGTGGATCACTTGAGGTAAGGAGTTCAAGACCAGTCTGGCCAACATGGTGAAACCCCGTCTCTACTAAAAATACAAATATTAGTTGGAAACAGTGGTACGTGCATGTAACTCCAGCTACTCGGGAGGCTGAGGCAGGAGAATCGCTTGAACCTGGGAGGCGGAAGTTGTAGTGAGGCGAGATTGTGCCACTACACTCCAGCCTGGGCGACAGAGCATGACTCCATCTCCAAAAATAAAAAATAAAAGAGACCCTGCCCAAGCAGCTCAACTGTCCTCTTCCCCACCATTTTTTTGGGTGGCTAAGCAGCTTATCACCTGAGTTTTATGCTTATGGATTTGAAGCATGTACTCCTGCATTTGAGTATTAGTTCTCCTGTCCCACCTTCCCAGGAAAACATTATCTTTTGTAGAGTATGTTAATCACGGTCCACAAAACCAATTATGTCAGGCTGACTGCCACCACTTAGGCCACGATTGTTTTTGTAGGCTCCTGTGGTTCTCCACACCATCCTAGCCTCCTCAATCCCCAAATTCATGCTGGGCTACAGAAATCTTGAATCTTTGGCAGGGTTGGGAACCCACGGGCCTCTGAAGCAGACTCCCTGGAGGCACCAATATAACCCTTCCCTTTTGGCATCATAGTTTTCCCCCACCAGGACCCAAGTCATCTCTATTTTGGGGCAAACATAATTCTTTCTGCTTCTCTGAAGCATTCGGCCTCTTCCTTAAAATATTGTTTTTCTACATGGGCTCAGGCTTTTTGGGAAACAACAGCCAGTAAGTCTACTGTGAGGTTCTTCCGTTTTCTTGCTACATACATAACTGTTTTGAGGCAAGAAAGCACACAGGGGAAAACAGGTGAAAAAAATTATAGCTCAAAAACATTTTCATCCATATTAATTCAATTCCAGAAACAATTACGCTTTTTATAAAGACAACAATTTAATATACTACATTTACTGCTATGGAAAGATAATTCACAATATGTTGGGTTTTTTGTTTTGAGACAGGGTCTCACTCTTCTGACCAGGCTGGAGTGCAGTGGTGTGATCATAACTCACTGCGGCCCTGATTTCCCGGGCTCAAGCAATCCTCCTGCCTCAGTCTCCCAAGTAGCTGGGACTACAGGTGTGAGCCACCACTCCGGCTAATTATTTTATTTTCTGTAGAGATGGGTTCTCACTTTGTGGCCCAGACTGCTCTCAAATTCCCGGGCTCAAGAAATTCTTCCACTTTGGCCTCCCAAAGTGTTGGAATTACACACATGGGCCACCACGCCTGTCCCACATGTTGTTGTGACAGGAAATTACAAAGATGTCTATCAGGATGACTCCAATGTTTAAACAGAAAATGTACATCAAGTCAAAACGAATATTTACCATCATGAAACAGTAGCTATCACTACAATTCACACTTCATAAGCAACCTTTTTAGGAGCTGAATTGGTGAAGCTATCTGAGATTGACTAAGGCCTCATTAATATTGCCTTACTTTCTGCTTTGTATCTTTAATATTTTCGGTAATTTACTGAATAAAAGCCTAGCACTTGAATGTACTGCAATATAAATATACAGTATATAAAGCCCATAGATTTTTTTTTTTTTTTTCCCCTGGAATGCAGAGGTGCCATCTTGGCTCACTGCAACCTCTGCCTCCCAGGTTCAAGCGATTCTCCTGCCCCAGCCTCTAGACTAGCTGGGATTACAGGTGCCTGCCACCACGCCCGGCTAACTTTTTGTATTTTTAGTAAAGACGGGGTTTCACTATGTTGGCCAGTCTGGTCTTGAACTCCTGACCTCAGGTGATCCACCTGTCTTGGCCTCCCGAACGTGCTGGGATTACGGGCGTGAGCCACTGCACCCGGTCTAGAGCCCACATCTTTATTTAGCACATTAGTAAACAAAATGACTTTAGTTATCAGAAGTTAAATAATTCAAACTTAAAGCTGTTGGAACTTTATTCTGAGCCTTGAGAGGAATGTGGCTACAGCCTGAGCCAAGCAGCAGGCATCTGCACCGTCTGCCTTTTGTTTCTGTAAATAATTAAAATAGGAGGAGCAAACCATACCAGAGATACAACCCCCTGAGATCGCTACCCGTCCTCACGGAGTAATGAAGTACCCTTTCTTGGAATGTAGCAATCTGTAACCTACCAAATAGCTGTAAGTATGCACTGGTCTCTTACGGAAAATGAAATCCTGCTAAAATTTGTCTCTGGCCACCTAGATGAAACCTTAACTTCTTCACTTTGGAATGCTGACCCCATTTGGAGCTGGTGTCTCCTGGGTGGCTACCCTCAAGCCTTACGCTGGAATAAACTCTTATCCTTAATCATATTTCCTGAACCTATTTAAGGTAGACAGGAGAGGGAAGCGGAGATGTCTTGAGATAAAGCTGAATAAAGTTTCTCAAGAAAAAAGGGAAAGGGACCTCTGAGCTGTACGTTGTTTTCTACTCTAGGGAGTTAGAGGTGAAGTAGGAACTTGAAGTTGGAAGTGCTGAGTTGGACAGCCCTCATCTCTAGGCAATACTTTAGTAAAGTGGAAAAACGGGAGAAGAGGACGAAGGCTAGGGAGAGATGCACCCAACCCAGTCCCGGGTTTCCCACTCGCTCTCGGAGTTGGGTACAAAGAGTGTTCCAAAGCCACTTCTCCTGTGCTCAGCCCAGTGCTCTCCCCGCGACTACCGGTGCCATCCAGATGCCCCAGGCGGGACCCCAGCTCGCGAAGCCCACCGGCCGAAGCTCCCCACAGGCTAGAGAGCCGCTCCTTCGAGGCCAAACTTCCGAGAGGCGGCCTGCGCCTAGCACGCAGGCGTGGAAAACTAGGCGCCAGCCTCGAACTGACCGCCGCCACCTGCCTCGGGCCGCGCCGTCCGCCGTTTACTTTCGAACCAGCCCAGCAATAGTTCCCATTGGCCGATGCCGCGCAGTTGAACGCTGCCTGCACACTGCGCCTGCGCCGCGAGGCTCCGCGCGGCCCTGCCCGGCCTGGGCACCTGAAGCCCTTCGGGGCGGAGGAGGGCGGGGACTCTGGGCGACTCTCAGCAGCAGCCTGGAGCCGGTGGCTCTCTGTTTCGGCGCTGTGGAGTCGCCTAGTCCGCCTCCTCCCCGCGGTGAGTCTAAGGACCTTTACGGATCCGAGAAGGTGGCTCTGAGTCCTTTTCTTTTCCTGTAGCACAGGCTGGTGTTCCAGTGTGTTTGCTGGGGAGTCCTGGGGGCGTGACGATGGAGGGAGTGGCTTGGGACCTGCACTCATTCCCACTTGTCCCACACTGGAGTTTGGGGAACCATTCTCCCGTCTCTCCACTGTGGAGCTGCGTTCCTGTGAGGGAGGAGGCGCTCTGTGGTGGCCAGGGTGAGCTGGGCCAGGCCGAGTCGGTCAGCCCCGCGGGGCTTGGGGTCCGGCGGTTGCGGAGGCGGAGGCGCTTTAGGAGGGAGGCCTGGGAGAGTGGAGCTTTCAGAGGGGGAGGGGAAGAGTACTGCCATTTTGAGCCCCTTTGTGGGAGGTGCTTGTAGGACTTAAGTGGGATAGGTGCAGTTACCCATTTTACAGATGTGAAGCCTCACTTTTGAGAGGTATTTGATAATACTGACTCAGGTACCACAGCATTGAAATGGCAGAACAGAGAGATGAGCAAACTATACTAAATCAATTATAATTTTGAGCTGGGAAAGTGTTTTACTCCCATAGATGCTTTTGTCTTGCAGTTAATTTTAAGCACTCTAAAATGATCGTGAATGTTTTTTCTGCCATCGCCATTGGTGGGTAATATTGTCGAGAGCTCATAAGCTACTTGACGTTGTAAAGAAGTCCTTTGTGACCATCTGTTTGGTCAGAGTTCGGATTTTCAAGGAACAAGCGATACCTCTACTGCAGCTCCAGCAACTGTGTTGGTGTTTGTGACTTTTCGGAAAACAGTGAAGCATAGTGAAGATAAACATCAAAGACAGTGAACTAACAACCATTTTTATGACATGAGACAATAAATTGAAAGCATTAAGGATAACATTATTTTAATTTTAGAATAAGAATAAAAGATTCTGGAGGAGTTGGAGTGTATTCAGTCCCCAAACCAGGAGATCAACAAAGTAGGTAAGTTCTGGGAGATTAAGTAAATATGAAAAACATTTTAACTGAGTTTTTACAGAGTGTATCATTTAAACTATAAAGTGAAATTTAGAAGTCTTTTGAAAAAACATTATGTTGATGGTGTATCAAATTCCAACCATCTTACCGAAGGAGCGGAGCATAAGGTGAAAAACAGCTTCCTTCTCCGATCTGTACCTTAAAGGTAGTCACTCAACTCTTTCGTACATCTGTCTAGAAATTTTACAAGAATGTGTACATCTCAAAACACATGCAGAGCTGTTATTTTAGACATACAGATCTGCAGAACTACACAAAACTGCAAATTAAGTTACCTGGATACTTCTTCACTATGCATTCATATATTGGTGTTTTTAAATGAGTAAGTAGCTATTTAATCTGGCAAGGTGAAATTTTGATTTTAGGTAATGTTAGTTTTGACGTTGCCTTTCACCAAACACGTTGATGAATATTTCCCACCAGATATATTTTTACTTTGAAAAGTATAACAAAAGTAATTAAAGCCTTAACTTCTCAAGTCAGTTCCTGGTTAAATTGAATTAATAGTCTTTTTTTGTTTTGTTTTTAGTTTTTTTTATTTTTTAGTTTAGGAAAACAGGTTGATATCAAAATGAAATAAAATAGTACAGATGGACAAAGAGTTAAAATCAGCTGACCATAGGATTTTTTTTTTAATTTGAGAAAGTTAAGGTGATCTCTCATTATTTTTGTATATTTATATGTGGCAGAATTATTTTTAAAAATCTTGTTTCTCAAACTTTCCGCAACAGTGTTAAAAAATCTTATATATGTATATAAATGATGCAGTTGTAGTTATTTCTTAAGTAAGTCTTCAATTGCATGAAATGTATTTCTTCTTTATCAGTTAGGGCCACAAAGATGTGAGCCCCAATTTGGGTGGTGGCACTGCTTGAATTTTTCTATACTTAAAGCTGACTCACTAGAAGTCATGGGGCAAGTCATCGAATTCTATAATGTGGTAAAAATATTTTCATTTCAGAGGCTGTGAAATGTAATGAATGTTTTACAACTGTTCATGTTTAGAGTTGAAAGGCAGGAAAGCATTAGTGAATTAAAGCTTAAAAACTGGTTTACACAAGAGAATGGGTAATGATATTTTTGGTGCTATTTAATCATCTGTTATACTGTCTATTACCTAATATGCCAGTTAGACATCAGGGAGGCTCCCTAGTGAATTGGTCCTCTGGAGAAAGACTTAATAAAAAGTGTGGAAATTCAGAAATGTATTTGTTTTGACACTTAAACACAAGACGTTAGTGAAATAATTTGTCAGTAGAGTGATTTAGCCTCAGATTTCTTTCTGAGAAGATTCATTTTTTTATATTTATATTTCTTGGTGACTTTTAAAAGAGAAGCAGGAAATCTTGAGGTACTGGTTTCTACATGAGCTTAGTACTCACTAGAGGAAAATACATTTTACATGGATTATTTTACTTTTTTGCTTTTTAAAAACATACAGTAGTATAAATTGATTCAAATTCATTTAGCAAAAGAAAGACTGGATAATAGGCAAGACACTTGAACATTTTTTTTAATTGTGTAAAATATACTAAACATAAAATTTACCATTTTAATATTTTTAAGTATACAGTTTGGTGGTATTAAATACATTCAGATTGTTTTGTAATTATCACCACCAACTATCTCCGTAACTTTTTCATCTTCCCAAACAAACTGTGTACCCATTAAACCAGCAGTCCTCAACATTTTTGGTACCAGGGACCAGTGTCAAGGAAGACAATTTTTCCATGGACAGGTGCGGGTGGGTGCTACATGGTTTTGGGATAAAACTGTTCTGCCACACATCATCAGGCATTAGATTCTCACAATGAGCTACAACCTAGTTCCCTCGCGTGCGCAGTTCACGGTAGGGTTCACACTCTTATGAGAATCTAATGCTACCACTGATCTGGCAGGAGGCTTTGCTCAGGCGGGCTTGCCGGCTGCCATGGCGGGGGTGCAGGGTGGGTAGGGAGGGTTGGGGACCCTTGCATTAAATGATAACTCTACGTCTTCCCTGCTCTCAAGCCCTGGCAACTACCATTCTACTTTCTGTCTTTGAGGACTGCTTATTGGTTTTAATATTATATATGCTTTTTTCACATATAATGTGAACGTAAATTTTTTTTCCATGGAACTAATTGAGTGAATTATATTAATAGATTTTTTGTTATTGAATTAACTTTATATTTCTGGAAAGAACCTTATTTAGTCATGGTGCAGTGTTTTTTTAAATGTACTCCTGTATTTGTTTTTGCTAACATTATATTTAGAATTTCACATGAGTGTCCATTTTTGAAATTAGTCCATTTTTAGTTTGTATTGTCTCAAGTTTTGGAATCATGTTGTACTGTCTTCAAAACATTTAGCAAACTTTTCATATTTGTACTCTGGAACAGTTGAGTAGGGCCTAGTCCACACTCAAGGGAGAGATTTCAAGAGTATCCAGGAAGTGCAGGTCATTGGGGGCCATTTTAGAGGCTGCCTATCACAGATAGCTAATGGCTTGTTTATTTACTTAAATAACTAACTCTTAGACTGGTCATGGTGACTCACAGCTATAATCCCAGCCCTTTGGGAGGCTGAGGGGGTAGGATCTTTTGAGGCCAGGAATTTGAGACCAGCCTGGGCAACATAGTGAGACCCTATCTCTACAAAGCATAAAAACATTAGGCACGTGTGTTGACATGTGCCTATCAGCTACTTGGGAGGCTGAGCTGGGAAGATTGTTTGAGCCTGGGAAGTTGAGGCTGCAGTGAGCCATGGTCTCACCACTGCGTTCCAGCCCTGGTGACAGAGCAAGTCTCAGTCTCAAAAAGAGCCATCTCTTGGGTTTATCAGTTCTAGCATTTTTATTTTTTATTTTTTTGAGACATAGTCTTGCTCTGTCACTCAGACTGGATTGCAATGGCATGATCTCGACTCACTGCAACCTCTGCCTCCCGGGTTCAAGCGATTCTCCTTCCTCAGCTTCCTGAGTACCTGGGATTATAGGCGCCTGCCACCCTGCCCAGCTTATTTTTGTATTTTTAGTAGAGATGGGGTTTTGCCATTTTGGCCAGGCTGGTCTCGAACTCCTGACTTCAGATGATCTGCCTGCCTCGGCCTCCCAAAGTGCTGGGATTATAGGTGTCAGCCACAGTGCCCAGTCAGTTCTAGCAATTTAAGTTTTCTAGTTCATTATCATCTTCCATTTATCTTTATTATTATTTTGTCTTTTGAGACAAGGTGTGGCTCCGTAGTCTAGGCTGGAATGCAGTGGAATGACCATGGCTCATGGCTCACTGCAGCCTGGACCTCCCAGGCTCGAGCAATCCTCCCTCCTCAGCCTCCTGAGTAGCTGGGACTAACAGGCGTGCGACACCATGCTTAGCTAAGCTTTTTATTTTTTATAGAGAATGGGGTTTCACTGTGTTGCCAGGGCTGGTCTCAAACTGCTGGGCTCAAGTGATTCTCCCACCTTGGCCTTCCAAAGTGCTGGGATTACAGGTGTGAGCCATCACACCAGGCTTATCTTTATTCTTTTTTTCCCACTTTTCCTTGTTTTTTTCCCCTCTTTTTTTAAGTTGAATTATTTTATATTCCTTTTGGTTTGGTAAGGAAAGTGTATGGTGTCAACTCTGCCCATGTAGTTTTTTTTAGCTCTGTAGATTTTACTGAAGAGTATTTCTGTTGTTTCACATGAATAAATTATGTGTTGACTGTGTACAGAATTCTCAGCTCATATCCCTTTCCTTCTAGACCTTGTGGACATTGCTACATTGTGTTCTAGCATTCCTTGTTGCTGGTGATGTTCTGGTTATTTCCTGCTGTGTAACAAATATCTGAAAGCTTGGCTGGCCAAATGTTCAAGATGTCTTTTTCACTCATGTGTCTGGCAATTCCTTGCCCTTCTGTTTGGCCTGTCTCTTCAGCAAAGTAGCCTGGACTTCTTACATAGCAGTTTGTGGCTCAGAGGCAGCAACCTGCCAAGCTAGTTAAGGGCTATACCTAGAACTCACCACATCACTTATACTGTATCTTCTTGGTCAGAGCAGTCACATGGCCCACACATATTCTAATAGGGGGAGAATAGATTTCAACTCTTCATGTGCAGGGAGTAGAAGGAAAGCCACATTATAGGACAGCTCGTGTGGGAGGTAATTACTGTGGACATTCCAATTTTAGAAATTCCAGTCTTCCAGAGGAGAATTCTGAGACCTTTGGTTTTGTTTTCCTTTTTTCATCCTTCTTTTCTATGTGGATACTTGTAGGATTCTCTTTCTTTCTTTAAAATTGTATTATATTTTTAATTGCTTAATAGTTAAAAGTGAAACCATAATTTATAATGAAAAACAGATTCTTACCCTCTAGAAGCAGTCACTTTTATCTTTTTTAACATTTCTTTTGGTATTTTCTTCTAAATTTCTAGATACTTATTTTTTGTGGTTTCTTTATTTTTTAAGTATGTATTGACTTTCTTATAAGGAAAAATTAAGATTTAGTTCTTAAACTGTTTCCTTACTGTATTTTCCCCCTCAATATAATTTTGTTACTCTTTGGTAAAATCAGTATTTGATATTTACAATATTATGACTGTTACAGTGACAGCTGAGCCATATACTATAATATTAATATTTCCTCTTTTCGTGATTCTATCATTTTCCCCCCTAAATTTAGTTACCTCTCAGTATGTTTCAGATACATGAAGCATTTCTATCAGTTCCATTTATTTACTTAAACATCTGTCTTCTGCACGCCTGTAATCCCAGCACTTTGGGAGGTCGAGGCAGGCAGATCATGAGGTCAGGAGATCAAGACCATCCTGGCTATCATGGTGAAACCCCGTCTCTACTAAAAATACAGAAAAATTAGCCGGGCGTGGTGGCGGGTGCCTGTAGTCCCAGCTACTTGGGAAGCTGAGGCAGGAGAATGGCATGAACCCAGGAGGCGGAGCTTGCAGTGAGCGGAGATTGCGTCACTGCACTCCAGCTTGGGTGACAGAGCGAGACTCCATTTCAAAAAACAAAAAAGAGATCTGTCTTCTGGATCTGCCTTCCTCTTCTAGAGTGACTCTTCTCTAGGCTTTCACAGTTGTCCTGGAATTTATTTCACCATTATGCTGGTGAACATTCTTGCTTTTCTTTTCTCCCTGCAGTAGCGTCTTTAGAAAGAGTTGGCAGAAGGTTATTCATTTTTGAGATCTTATGTTGTCAAACTGTCTTTATATAAAAATTTATTGTTTTTTTTCTATGTATAGAATTTTATTTTCCATTTTGGAAGCTATTTTTTTTTTTCTGAGAATATCAAAGGCATTACTCCATTGTCTTATTGTTTCCAGTGTTATTGATGTTTTTACTGTTTGGAAACCTACATACAGCATAGCTAAATCCAAGATGTTCATCCTAGATTAATTTTTGCTCTTTTTCTTCCTTCCAGAAGCCTAGACTGGTTGTGGAAAATTTCTGCTGCATAAAATTTCATACTGGTTTCTGAAAGAACTAGCCTGTAAGCATGGTAGCCACCTTTTTTTTTTTAAAAGAAAAAAAAAGGGTCTTGCTCTGTTGCCTAGGCTGGAGTGCAGTGGCAGTCGTGGCTCACTGCAGCCTCAACTTCTTGGGCTCAAGTGATCCTCCTGCCTCAGTCTCCCGAGTAGCTGGGACTATAGGCATGTATAACTGTGCCTGACTAATGTTTAATTTTTTGTAGAGATAGGGTCTCACGGTGTTGCCCAGGTTGGTCTTGAACTCCTGGCTTCGAGTGATCTTGCCACCTCTGCCTCCCAAAGTGCTGGAATTACAGGCGTGAACCACTGCACCTGGCCCACCTATATAGTTAGTGTACTTCTCAGGCAGCAACCAGAGTCAGAAAGTTCCTGACCTTACACAGTTATTTTTCAGTTCTAGTTTCTCTTCAATTTGTTGCCTAAAATTAGTTTTTAATAAATAAACCAGTGAGAAAAGGGTAGTCCGAGAATAGATTTTGACTTCTGTGATCTGTAAGTTATCTACAAATTTTTGTCTAAAAAGTATTATTAAAAATTTTACATATGATAGCAGTAACTTTGAGACCAACTATGATTTTTGCTTCCTTTTTTTTTTTTTTTTTTGAGACAGAGTCTTGCTCTGTTGCCCAGGCTGGAGTGCAGTGGCGCCATCTCATGCCTCAGCTTCCAGAGTAGCTGGGATTATAGGGATTACAGATGTGCGCCACCATGCCTGGCTAATTTTTGTGTTTTTAGCAGATACAGGGTTTCACCATGTTGGACAGGCTGGTCTCGAACTCCTGGCCTCAAGTGATCCACCTGTTTTGGCCTGCTTCCATTTTATATAAGCTTAGGATTTGCTTTACAATGTCGTGAATATTTTCATTTTAAAGAAAGTTGAGCTTTTGGGCCCCTAAATGCATTATCAGAGTTGTTCCCTAGCTTTTTGCAAGCATAGAATAGGGGTTTGGAGACAAAAGTTAGATTTTGTTTTAGGACTAGTTTTGCTACTTAAACAATTGAATAGCTCCAATAATATTAAATCGATTAAATGTATGTCCACTGCTCAAATTTTATTTCCTACAAAGTGTTATTCTGTTTATTCCTTCGATGTGAATTCTGACATCACTGAAATACTCTGAAAAACACATTTGTTTTTCTTGGGTGGTTTCTGTATGAGTTCAGAGATTTCTGTAGGTGTAAAGTTGTAAAGTCTTGCCAACATGCACTCACTTGAATTTATCTGCAGTGAATGTCATCTTTACTGTTGCTCAATTACTTTAGTTTGTTGGAATGCTTCATCGTTCAAGCTTAAGTCTCTGTTTGACACACTTTGGCTCATTCAGGGTCTGTCAGTCTGAATGGAATATTTTCTGATAGATTTTCCTTTTACACCTTTTCCGAAGCAGAGGTTTTGCTATTAAAAAAAAAAGAGCAAAAAAAAAAAAAAAAAAAAAAAAAAAGTCCCGAAACAAAAATCTGTATTACCACAGGTGTCTGAAAAGGCATTTGTTCATTGAACCAATAACAAGTAAATGCCTGCTGTGTTAAAAGTTGTGCCTAAATTGCAGGAATATAACCATAGTTTAGACACAATTCCTGCCCTTCTAGGAGGCCTACATTCTAATGTATACAGAAAAGTTACAAAATTCTTTTAAATAAAATCTTGTTAAAGTGCTATGAAGTAAAAGTGCAGTGTTTAATGAGAATAATAGGGGACCTAATCTGGGGAAAGGCATCCCAAGTTGAGCCCTGAAGAAAGAGTAAGAGTTTGACAGATAGTAAAGATAAGGAGCCAAGTTTGCATTTTATTAAAAATGCAGTTACTTTTAGATGCTATTTTCACAGATTTTTAATCTGAAAAGTTAGTTTTATGGCATGTGATTTGGTAACCTTTATATTTTATGTGAATGGCACTTGGGTGTCTTTTTTTTTTTTTTTTTTTGAGACGGAGTTTTGCTCTTGTTGCTCAGGCGAGTGCAATGGTGTAATCTTGGCTCACAGCAACCTCCGCCTCCCAGGTTCAAGCAATTCTCCTGCCTCAGCCTCCCGAGTAGCTGGGATTACAGGCATTTGCCACCACACCGGGCTAATTTTGTATTTTTAGTAGAGACGGAGTTTCTTCACGTTGGTCAGGCTGGTCTCAAACTCCTGACCTCAGGTGATCCATCCGCCTTGGCCTGCCAAAGTGCTGGGATTACAGGCGTGAGCCACCGCGCCTAGCCATGGCACTTGGTTTTTAAGTTTTGCCTAAGGTACTTTCAACAGTGGTGTAACTTGATTTTTCTCTATCAAGGGGTAACCTAGTCTTTAGAATTGTGGCTTGCGTTGAGGGTAGATATAAAGGAAAACAGTAGGAGGTGATAGGGTGCAAAATGGTCAGACTTCTGTTACTGGAAATACCAGTAATAGCTTGCCAAGAATTCAAGTTACTTGTGTCAGAGATGGTCTCTGAACTATTGCTGCATTTCTTTTTCTGTCTCAGAAATACTGATTGAGAGACTTTTTCATGAAGGAAAGATGACTAATGGTCTCCTTTTTGTTCTTTACCATTTAGTGCTCTAGTTTTTCACTTAAAAATTAAGGCAGTAATTCAGTTACCATAGTCAACTCTTATCTTTCAAACTGATTTTTATTATAAGGATTAATTCAAAATTTTTCTGCCTTCTAAATCTCCAAGTTAAAATTATTGCCTTAGAAATTTATACTGTGCTGATCCTGGGGTTTAAGCATACTTGTATTTTAATTCAAGAAGCTAAAAAATTTATGGTAGTAACAGTTACTATGGAGAAATTTGATAACTTGCTTTAGAAACCATTGTTGAGCCAACTGGGACATGTTTCCTCCTTTTGTATTAAAGAATATACTTTTGCTAAGCCTAACTTGTTATAATAGAAATAGTCTTGTCTACTCATTATATGTGCTTGGTTTTGATTTTATCATCTTAAATGTTAAAATGTTGCCCAAAATAGGCCGGGTGCGGTGGCTCATGCCTGTAATCCCAGCACTTTGGGAGGCCGAGGCTGGCGGATCACGAGGTCAGGAGATCGAGACCATCCTGGCTAACACGGTGAAACCCTGTCTCTACTACAAATACAAAAAATTAGCTGGGCGTGGTGGCGGACGCCTGTGGTCCCAGCTGCTCGGGAGGCTGAGGCAGGAGAATGGCATGAACCTGGGAGGCAGAACTTGCAGTGAGCCAAGATCATGTCACTGCACTCCAGCCTGGGTGACAGAGTGAGACTCAGTCTCACAAAAAAAAAAAAAAAAAAAAAAAAAAAAAAAAAAAAAGAAAAAAAAAGTTGCACAAAATAGTTGTAATCACTAAGTAGACTTTAACAGAACACTTTGAATTTTAGTCTTTATTAGATAGTATATTAGTCTGTTTTCATGCTGCTGATAAAGACATACCCGAGACTGGGTAATTTATAAGGAAAAAGAGGTTTAATGGACTCACAGTTCCACGTGTCTGGGGAGACCTCACAATCATGGCAGAAGGCGAAAGGCACATCTCACATGGCGGCAGACAAGAAGAGAGAATGAGCCAAGGGAAAGGGGTTTCCTCTTAAAAAACCATCAGATCTCTGATACCACAAGAACAGTATGGGGGAACTGCCCCGATGACTCAAGTTATCTACCACTGAGTCCCTCCCACAACATGTGGGAATTATGGGAGCTACAATTCAAGATGAGACTTGGGTGGGGACACAGCCAGACCATATCGCATAGCAACAAATTTAAATAACTTTAATTTGAAGCATTTTACTACAAATTAATGATAATCGCTTTGTTTGGGATGCTTTTGGTCCCTAAGGAATAAACTCTTAATTGTGATCAGTTATTCACCATATATACTAGGAATTTAATTACTCAGAAAGCTTCATTTTAAAAATACCTTGTTCTCTTTTAAAAGACAAGCAGTATAGTAACAATTTGGAGGTTAATGCTAGAATGTTAAATAATATGTACAAGTGTCTCTATGTAAACTTAAAATAAGCTTTTCTCTTGACAGGAAATGCACAATTTTGAGGAAGAGTTAACTTGTCCCATATGTTACAGTATTTTTGAAGATCCTCGTGTACTGCCATGCTCTCATACATTTTGTAGAAATTGTTTGGAAAACATTCTTCAGGCATCTGGTAACTTTTACATATGGAGACCTTTACGAATTCCACTCAAGTGCCCTAATTGCAGAAGTATTATTGAAATTGCTCCAACTGGTATTGAATCTTTACCTGTTAATTTTGCATTAAGGGCTATTATTGAAAAATACCAGCAAGAAGACCATCCAGATATTGTCACCTGCCCTGAACATTACAGGCAACCATTAAATGTTTACTGTCTACTAGACAAAAAATTAGTTTGTGGTCATTGCCTTACCATAGGTCAACATCATGGTCATCCTATAGATGACCTTCAAAGTGCCTATTTCAAAGAAAAGGACACTCCTCAAAAACTGCTTGAACAGTTGACTGACACACACTGGACAGATCTTACCCATCTTATTGAAAAGCTGGAAGAACAAAAATCTCATTCTGAGAAAATGGTCCAAGGCGATAAGGAAGTCGTTCTCCAGTATTTTAAGGAGCTTAATGATACATTAGAACAGAAAAAAAAAAGTTTCCTAACAGCTCTCTGTGATGTTGGCAATCTAATTAATCAAGAATATACTCCACAAATTGAAAGAATGAAGGAAATGAGAGAGCAGCAGCTTGAATTAATGACACTGACAACATCTTTACAAGAAGAGTCTACACTTAAATTTCTTGAAAAAGTTGATGATGTACGCCAGCGTGTAGAGATCTTGAAACAAAGACCACTTCCTGAGGTTCAACCTGTCGAGATTTATCCTCGAGTAAGCAAAATATTAAAAGAAGAATGGAGCAGAACAGAAATTGGACAAATTAAGAATGTTCTCATTCCCAAAATGAAAATTTCTCCAAAAAGGATGCCATGTTCCTGGTCTGATAAGGATGAAAAGGAAATTGAATTTGTTAAAATTTTAAACATTGTTGTAGTTACATTAATTTCAGTGATACTGATATCAATACTCTTTTTCAACCAACACATAATAACCTTTTTAAATGAAATCACTTTAATATGGTTTTCTGAAGCCTCTCTATCTGTTTACCAAAGTTTATCTAACAATCTGCATGAGGTAAAGAATATACTGTGTCACATTTTCTATTTGTTGACGGAATTCATGTGGAAAATAATTTCTCATTGAAAACGTCAATCTGAATTGTTTAAATGGGCTCATTCTGTACATTGCTAAATGAAAAATAGGGTGGCAGCATGAATAAATTGCAAACTAAGCTTTATTAGTGCTGCAACTAATATAAACAAAGTTTATATTTGTTGCTTTTGGTTAGCAATATGTCAAAGTTAGAAATATCTGAAATATTCAAATCTTTGGGAAAATCTAATTTGAAAAATACACTATTTTTATTGGCTTTATGAAGGTTGACATAATGTTGCTGTGACATTTAAACATTCTTGTACCAATATTGTATTTTACTATTATATACTGCAGTTAATTGGCTTTACAGTTCTTTATATATATAGCAAAATCCTGAAAGTACGTATACCTTTATTTTGATATGGCTTGAAGCTTTTGAATGGGTGAATAGGATGATAGAAAGGTTTTAAAATCAAACAACAAAGTCTTAAAGTGATAAGGCATTGCTTAAAGATCTTTTGATCAAATATACCTGTGTTTTAAATAGTTTAAGAGCCCTAAATGTTTATCACCATTCACTCCAAATAAAGCTATTGCTTTTGGATAACTGTTCGGGAACAGTGGCTTTTTAAAAGAAATTTTCGATACTGGGTCTCACTTTGTTGCCCAGGCTGGAGTGCAGTTGTCTGGTCATGACTCACTGCAGTTTCGACCACCCAGGCTCAATTGATCCTCCCGCCTCTGCCTCTGATGTAGCTGAGACAAGGCACACACCCCCATTCTTGGCTAATTAAAAACGTTTTTTGTAGAAACGAGGTTTTGCCATATTGCCCAGGTTGGTCTCAAAGTTCTGGACTCGAGATCTGCCCACCTTGGCCTCCCAAAGTGCTGGGATTACAGACATGAGCCACTGTACCTGGGGGCCAGCAGTTTTAATACTTGTCATATTCTATGTTAGTGTAAATTTAAGATTGTATTTAACTTTTCTGCTCATCAAATCAGTTCTTGGATTAAAAACTCATTCTTACTAGAACAGAATCATGTTGGTAACTTGGTCTGCAACAGGTTTTGATGGCATCGTGGACTTTATTCATCTTTATTATACTTTAAGTTCTAGGATACATGTGTACAACATGCAGGTTACATATGTATACATGTGCCATGTTGGTGTGCTGCACCCATTAACTCGTCATTTACATTAGGTGTATCTCCTAATGCTATCCCTCCCCGCAATACGCCCCAGTGTGTGATGTTCCCCTTCCTGTGTCCAAGTGATCTCATTGTTCAATTCCCACCTATGAGTAAGAATATGCGGTGTTTGGTTTTCAACTTTATTCATCTTAGCTCATTTAAATTTTCTACCACATTCCCTTAAGCTAATGCAAAAGTACCAATAACTTAATCTTATATTTGTTTTGCTTAAGAGGGCCTATTAAATCAAAGCCTTTTATTTCCCTTTAACAGGGACTGGAGTTATGATGCATGTGTTACGACTTTTGGCCCACTGTTCATGCAACCCTAAGTGCAGGTTGATTTGCTTTCCAGAAATCCCAAAGGGGCTGCTCTTGGATCACTGAAGAAGAGCCTTATCTAGTTCAAAAAGACATTTTGGGTCAGATTAGACAATGCTTCTGGCCCTACAGATTACACATAAACTATCATAAATAAATACAGCTTTTCAGGGAACTAGTCCTAAAAGTCTTATCTGCTGAGAACAAGTCTTAACACTAAGATGACTGTATTATATCAATTTATGATTAGTATCAGACTTACACCTAGCACAATTAACTATTGTTTGGGTAAAGAACATTTAAAGGGCATAGTAGAGGTAAGGAGACACATATTCAGGTAGAGATAAAAATACTAAGTTGCATTGATTACTTAAAATACTATTCACACCATAAAAGTGCCCTGTAGTTTGAGAAACAAATAAGCAATGAAATGTATGTTAGCCATTATGTGTTAAGCTACTTAATCTCTCATATGTGTGATGTGAATATTTTTAACCCCCACTTTTTGTAGATGAGGGAACTGACAAGTGACTTGCCCAAGGCCATATAGCTGTGGGAGAACCCATGCATTCTCTTTTCAGAGTTCATGCTATCACTCAACTTTAAAGAAGTAGGCCAAGATTAATGTTAATAAGAGTTTATAATCTATAAGAGAATAACTAAAAACATAAGTATATATACCATTTTAGATTTGACATTATTTTTTATCTTGCTAGTTTTTAGGAAGACTTCATTTTGTTAGGTATGCATATAGTTGAATATGAGTAACTGGTTCTTATACTGCTGTTTTGTATTTTTACCAGCAGGAAGATTGCAAAAGTTAATGTATATAAATCTTGAAATATTTCTAAAAGTATAACAAAATATATATTTTAATAAATACCTTTTGATATTTTATTTGCACTGTCTTAATGAGACTTCCAAACTCAGGAGTGGTAGCTATGGGATTTTCACATGGGTTCTGGGTACTTCTATTCTTTGAAATTTAGTACTGCAGGCTGGGTGTGGTGGCTCATGCCTGTAGTCCAGCACTTTGGGAGGCTGAGGCAGGCAGATCACTTGAGGCCAGGAGTTTGAGACCAGCTTGGCCAACATGGCAGAACCCCACTCTACCCAGAATACAAAAATTATCTGGGCACTGTGGTGTGCACCTGTAGTCCCAGCTACTCGTGGCTGAGGCACTTGAATTGCCTAAACCCATGAGGCGGGGTTGCAGTGAACCAAGATCTTGCCACAGCACTCCACCCTGGGTGATGGAGTGAAACTCTCAAAAAATCTGAGCTCTACTGCATTGGTTATGAAAACATAATAAAGTATTAAATTCTATTCTCCCACCAAATGAAAACACTTGAGATTATCATTATAGCATTTTAAACTTACTTTTCCCTTATATATTCTTTTTTTTTTTTTTTACTTTTCTTGAAAAAAATTTTAGAAAATGGCAGTTAATAAAAGGCACAAACAAATCAACAGGGACATACTAGTGGAAAACACAATATAAAACTAAAAGGTCATTGGCTTGTTTAACTGGTTAAAAGCACAAAATGTAACAGGCAGAAAGTCTGTTTCAAACAAATTAAAAAGCTATGTGTTTTTTAAATTCTCCCCAAATCAGATACACACACACCCACAAAAAGTGTGTGAAGGAAAGCTGTCATACACAAGAAGTTGTATCCTAAATTCTTCAAGGAAACATACTGAAATAGGAATTAACAGAGTCAGCAACAGATTAATAATTTTTAAAAATTGAGTCTTAAAATGCTACATGGCCCAAAGCTATACTATATAAAATACTGCTAGGTACAAAAGAAAATGTCTGTACAGCTTTTAGCGAAACTGCTTTCTCAGAAAAGCAAATTAAAATAATGCAATCAGCAGATCAAGGAGACTATAGACATCAGAGCTACAACTTCTCATTTCTGTGTCAGAAAATCCTATTTATCCAGAATAGACTAAAATTTCAGGACAAAACAGGGACTTAACATTTCTTACTTTACCCAGTTTAAGTTCTTTTTATCTCCCCCACCCCCCAAGCCAGTAATTCAGCAAGATTCAGCAGAAAGAGGGCTACTTTTAGAATTCGCTATTTTACTTTTCTTTCTATGGCGAGACTGTCATGGAGCCTGGATATTTCAGGCTCATATGCATCCATGACCAGTGTCCCACTGTGGTCAAAAAACTTAGCAATGGACTTGGTGAACTTGGCTTCCCGCTGCTGCTTTGTTCTCCCACTGATGAAGGTCGGCTTCAAGGTGTATTTGTCATCAAACCTTTTAAGACCGGAGGACAGCTGCCAAATATCAGGGTCCATTCCTGTAGGATCTTTCCTGTGGGCCATGAGAAAGATGCTCTTCTCCTTATATGAGGTATAAATGGCCAGAATCCCCATCACCACAAAATAGGATATGACGCACAAAGCCAAAACGGGTTTGGACTCTGGAAAGGGGTGCATACAATCCCAAAGCAAAGCCAGTATGGCAAAGAAACAGGAGACTGTACAGATGGTGAGGCGACCATCAATTAGACCAAAATTCTCCACACATTTCTATTTTTCCAGAAGTACTTTTTTGCCAGAATCATCCAGAGTTTTTCACAGCTGATCCATCCCACTTGTCACTTTTTACAGGCTTATCATCTATCTTCCACTTACCTAACAAGCCGCTACGGCCACTGCCTGTCCCGCAGTTGGAACCACCGCCAGCCCCACTATTGCCTCGGAGACTACTGCTTCTCCTGCCCTGTGCAGCTCCACCGCCATTTTGTCCACCTCTGCGTCTCCCCCTTATATATTCTTGATTTCCAATAAGTTACCATACTTGAATTTCAGATCTTGCTTTATTTAAAAGTCCATGCTAATAATGCGTTTACATTTTTACAGTTACATTATGATACAAACTGTTGGATTTTTTAAGTATGTAAAACAAAAGCCCACTGAAGAAACAATTAACTCTTTTAATTCCTTAGGATAAATACCCAGAAATTTAATAGCTAGGGCAGACTTCTAATTCAATACCAAAATTCCTTCCAAAAACCAAGTGGTTGCCAACTTATGTCCAGTAGCATTAAACATTCTTGAACCAATAGTATAAAAATACCCTGACAATTTTATAGGCAAACATTACTCAAGATATCTTACTAACCATTTATTACTAAAGTAATCCCCAAATACAGATGCTCCTCAACAGTGGGGCTACATCCTGGTAAACCTATCAAGTTGAAACTACCAAGTTGAAATGCATTTAGTACCCTGATAAATGTATCATAAAGTTAAAAATTTGTAAATGGAACCAGTGTAACTCAGGGGCCATCTTCATACTCATGAAGCAACTACAGTGGGGTATTTTTCAACTTACAAGATAGCCTAGGCTTGTTGAGACACTGTCTTAATTTACTGGCTCTCTTGTAATTAAGTCATAAATGGTCAAACATCAAATTCTAGAAAAGCATATATTTAAATTCTCATCACTATAATTCAAAATGACTGGTTTACAAAAATATGTTCCTAGTATTTGGGTAATAACTGTGGTGATTGTCTAAACTGGCAAGCTAAGTGGAATGCCTTAAAGAATATATCCAAGATTAGTTGGCAGATGTTTCCAGTGTAGGTAAATCAAAGGCCCACGAAGGTATGCTGAGCCTTGATAGCACAACCTAGTTCAGGACTTTGCCTCAACTAACATACTTCTTACTTTGGCAAGTTACTTGACCCTCCAGGTATCTAATTTTTCTCGATAGTCTGCTACTTACAAGATTGTCATATTTTTGTAATCTAGAAGCAATTATAGAGAATATTTTATTAGACTTAACTGCATAAAATAGAAACCAGTTTCATGGTCTAGTTTAAGGGGTATTTTATAAAACTCATAATCCTTTACAAATAGAAAAAAATCAGTAATACACTGAATCAACTTGAAGAATCTTCAGTATAAACAAGTTCAACAAAATCCCTTAGATGCAATTTCTTTTGGATTTACAGCAACACTTTTTGTTATGTTGTATGTCTTGTAAATTCCAATAAGTCTATCCGAAATCTCAAACATATTATTTCGAAGAGAAATTATTATGAACTGTGCATTTTTTGTCTGTTCCTAAAGAGAAAGAAAGAAAAGTCAAACATTAAGTAATAACAGGTAAATCACACAAACATGTAACCTCAAATATTTTTTGGAAAATAAACATTGCATTGATAACATGTAAAGGAATGATGGCAGGAATAATTCATAAAACAGTATCAGTGTGAAAGGAATTTGGTTATTTTGACTTCTAATGGAAAAGATCTAGAAAGATGACCTATGATTCTAGCTGTGATTCTGCTAATTTGCATTTTTAAATTTTATTTTATTCCTCCAAAATGGAAGTATTTGGTTCAAATAAAAAATAATTTGGTCTCCACTGATAGATACCAGAGGAGATGGGAGTTAGACAATAAAGAAACAGCTCAATAGTAAGAAATGAATAATTCCACGTGCAGTGTTTAGGATACCCCTAGAAGTTTCTGGAATGAAAATCCCGAAATGATTACTTACATATATATAAAATGCAACAATGGACACATTTTTAAAATCAAGGGCTGCATCAATCTCATCCATGAAGTAAAGGGGAGTGGGCTTGTAGTGGTGAAGAGCAAATACTAAAGCCAATGAACTAAGTGTTTTCTCTCCTCCTGAAAGGTTGAAGATCTTTTTCCAACTTTTCTTAGGTGGTCGAACACTGATGATTAAGAAAATCATAGTCAAATTACTTGTAAAGCTAAAGTTAAGACCTTATGATTTGTTTTCCATAATTGACTTCTACTCTCTTTCTCTTCGGAATCTGTAATTTGCTTTTCACAAATATGAACTCTTCTATTATTTTATAAAAACGTTATTGGAAGATGAATACATAGGAACACATACCAAAATTTTAAGATTTAAAGAGCAAGCTAAGTATACTTCTTGCTATTCTTTCTCCTTATCAAATACAGTTTCTCAATCCTGATGTTAAAAATGCTTTGAAAATTTAAGAAAAGATAAACTAGACAAATATTTTGTAAATACTGGCGGGCTGCTCCTGTAAACTGCAAGCATAAATAGCACGTAAGCAAATTAATATTTACTAGTAAATTGAGTTTGGAGAATATGCAGAAAAAGGTTAGCAGTGGGATTATAAACTCAGCATACACACCTGAACATGATTCCTTCAGAGAAAGGATCCAAGCTGTCTACAAGCTCCAGTTCAGCATCCCCTCCCAAAGTAAGCATTTGGTAATTTTCCTTTAATTTATTTGTTATTATATAAAAACCGGCCATAAATTCATTAAGCCTTTGTTTCCGAAGATCTTCATATGCCTGTCTAAAACTGTCTCTTTCATAAGTAATTTTGTCCAATTCTGCTACCCGTTGCAAATACAATTCTTCCTGTGAAAAGATTATGATAGGAAAAATCTATTCAGATAAATTTGATATAATTAGCACTGTTTTTTTTTTGTTTTTTGAGACGGAGTCTCGCTCTGCCGCCCAGGCTGGAGTGCAGTGGTCGGATCTCAGCTCCCTGCAAGCTCCGCCTCCCGGGTTTATGCCATTCTCCTGCCTCAGCCTCCCGAGTAGCTGGGACTACAGGCGCCCGCCACGTCGCCCAGCTAGTTTTTTGTATTTTTTAGTAGAAACGGGGTTTCACCGTGTTAGCCAGGATGGTCTTGATCTCCTGACCTCGTGATCCGCTTGTTTCAGCCTCCCAAAGTGCTGGGATTACAGGCTTGAGCCACCGCACCCGGCCAATTAGCACTGTTAATCATTAGCACTGTTAATCATTATTTTGTTATGAGACGTAGTCTTGCCCTGACGCCCAGGCTGGACTGGAGTGCAATGACGCGATCTCGGCTCACTGCAACCTCCGCCTCCCAGGTTCAAGCGATTCTCCTGCCTCAGCCTCCCAAGTAGCTAGGATTACAGGCACGTGCCACCACGCCCGGCTACTTTTTTGTATCTTTAACAGAGATGGGGTTTCACTATGTTGGCCTCGCTGGTCTCAAATTCCTGATTTCGTGATCCACCCCGCCTGGTCGACAGCATTAATTATACAAAACTAAAGGTCAGAATTTAGGCTAAGGACTAAAAAGAATTCCAACTAGTATACATAAACAGTTCATTCATACCTTCTTTTTATACTCTGCAATGGCACCGAGGTTTGGTTTCATTTCATGACACCGGGCTTCCAAAAGTGCAATTTGATTTGTTATAGAATCTGGATTCTTGATTGCTTCAAGATCTTCTGGACTTAGAACTGAAATCTCTTCAATAGGATTATCTTCTATAGGATGCAATGATATTTTTGAAATCTAAAAGTTCAATTTAGGGGAGAGTTACAGAAAGCATAATATCACAATTCATTGTTTTAAAAAAATAGTATGACAAATTACACAGCTATGAAAACAGGAGTTGTGACTGATTTGTGTATCAATTATTTTTCAAAGGACTTTAAGAAAAATAGTTTTAACACTCGAAAGTGTTCATGTAATCTTTTCTTAAATGTCCAGATCAGCCTTAGGGTGAAAGGGTAGTTGTCTGATTCTAACCATTACTTAAGACTTTTCTGTCTATAACAATATGTCCCCATAAACCTGAGATGTGTCACAGAATTAAAATTCACAATGTAGCTCGCAAACAAAGTTTAAGAACCCCAACCCCCCAAAACAATCCTCCCCAAACCCACTTTTTTCATAAAGAATACGTTAAAAATTAAACTAAATGGTAACAATCTCACCTCTTTGTGCCAATATTTTATTTTAGAATTATGTTCAGCAATGTGACCATCTATTTGTTCAAGTTTCAACTTAATACTAAGTGCATCTTTTTGCAGAGCATGTTCATTTTCTTGAATAACTTTTAATTCTTGAAGCAGATTGCGATGTTCTTTCTGGATCTCTGGTAAGGATTCCTAAACACCGAAAAGAACTGCTAGATAGAATCTTCCCAAATACAGCCATCATTTTCACATTACAAAGATGAAGGAATTACTAATCTCTCCTTGCCCCTTCCATTTAAAAATAATATAAGCATTTAAATTCACAAATTACAGTATTCTCTTATTGTACAAATACAAATTGATAGTTATAAAACTTTAAATCTATGAGTGCTTACTACATTCTAGGCACTGTCACATATCCAGCTCTTTAAATTGGTTCCAGTATCATCCCATCTCCTCTTAATAGAAAGCAACTCTTACCTCTGCAGCATTTGTATTCTTTACGACCTCTGCTGCTTTGTCCTCAAGACTTTTCAGCTCTGCTGTTAGGTCATCCACCTCTTTCTCAGTATCTTTTATTTCTTTCTCTGTACGCAAGACAGAGTCTTGTGCCTTTTGAAGGTTTCTAAAGCAAAATGATGCATCAAAAATGCGGTAACATGATTTGTTGTTTCTGAAAACTTACTAAAGAACTTTTAATGAGATTTAGTGTGACATTTTTTGTATTCATAGATTTTTAAGTTTATGACTTTCTAAACCATCCTTAAATCGGTTTTTGTAGGTTTATACAAACACTCGTGGGATGAGTTGTATATTTTTAATTAAAAATATACAATATAAGCTGCTTGTATCATCTAACTTTAGATTGAT